GTTTCTAATTACATGCGTGAGACAGGTGTCCATGCCGGAGTGAAAAATGTAAAGGTCGTAGAGCTAAATCTGTAAAATGTTTCGAAATTGGTAGTATTTCTTTTGATGTGAACAACACGCAAGGTGATTTTAATTACATCTGGCGAAATTAAAAATATTCTTTTTGAAGGCGAATTACAAAATGGAGTCGAATAACAAGAAAGTGGTGTTGCCTACGCCAACCACTTGGGTTAATGTTTTAGGCTGTACGCTTCAGGTCGGCTGAAGGAAGACGGTAAATTCTTTTGATCTTCGTGGCATTTGAAATTTGGGGAGACGGGAAATCCTCCAGTTTCGCGTCCAGGACCACTGTCGGGACAGATTTCGTAGATATTTTTCTGCGAATCAACGAAGCTTTAACAAGGCTAAAAAAGGGCCAAATGGTTGAACAAATTTCAGTGGGTGGAAAGCATTTGGAATTACAACGCGTGGAGTGTGGAGTGGAAAGCACAAATGGGGAGATAGCTCTCGCTAGGTTCGAGCTTGAGCTAGACTCAGACTTCGTGTCTGGGACCATTGTCCTAGATTGGTCGAGTGTAGGGCCTACATCTCGCGGAATTTTTCTGCGAATGCGCGTAGTCTTAGCGGGGCCGTGGACGAGATTTTTGAACTCGTGAGCCGCGTTGACCATTCGCCAGGTGCACGTGACTGATCGTCGCGGGCCTGACTGGCACAGCAGTATGTATCTGCAAACGGTGCGACCACGTTGGGAAATTTGTGTGATTCATGGGTGAAAATCACAAAAAAAAGGGGAATGAGACTAAAAGAGACCGCGTAGGACCTAGAACGCGGTGTGAGAAGCGCTTTTGGGCGTGATGGACACGTGGAGGAAAATTACGTGTGGTTTACCGGCGAAATAAATCACACTACGGGAGGACCGACAAATTCTCTCGGCTTTTGTCTAATTCCACGACCATGGGTTAGGAAAAGTTAAAACATTTTTTGGGCTACATTTTTTATGAAAAAAATTGGGCAACCGCTGGTCGAGTGTGGACCCTCCCAGCGAAGAGCGGCCGGCAGTATGAAAGACTGCGACGCTAGGATTGGGATTTTGTGGAGGAATAAACACCCCCTAGGACCCGCTGGACTGCGGAAGGGGGGCTAGGAAATTTCCATGGGACGGAAATTGACGTGAGGTGCGTACAGTGCCTGGCTAGTTGTGCTTGGGGCCGAAAACCCTCAGGCGGCGGAGCAGTCGCGCGGTGGCGTGCTGTTCAACCCCCTAGAGCATCTCAAAACTCTAGGGGAGCTCTTAAAGCATCTCAAAACTTTAAGAGAGAGTCCTTGGAGCATCTCAAAACTCAGACAAGGGCTAAAACAAATTGGAACGCTCGAAAGAGATTTCCTGCTGAGCGAATGTAGGCTCAAACGTGTAGTGGGTACGAGTAGGTACTGTGAATATGTTTTTTTTTAGGAGAGTAGAACTATATAATTTCTGTGAAGCTAAAACTATATTTTTCTGTGAAACTACAACTTAGATTGTTTTAACGCCGGGAGGTGCCTGGTTAAAGTAACCACTCGACGGTATGTAGACCGTCAGAATGTTTGGCGGTAAGGAGATCGCCAGCCTCGGAGAAATTAAATCATTAATTTAAGTAATTTCAACAAAAAAAATGTTAATCAAGAGTTGTTTTTTTTTTTGCCATGTATCTGCGAGAGCTTGTCCGGTTGTCATTCACCTGGCCCGATTGAGGAATGTCGGGGGACCTTGACCCTGGCGCAGGCAGTTGCGCTTCTTTCATGCAACTGTCGGACAATAGGTGCCATAAAACAGCATCGGGGCCAAGCCGCCAAGCGTCATCAAAAGGCGCGACCGTATCTCTCGCAAAGTCTTTCATTCTGTTTTCACTTAAAATCTGTTTTCTCTCACAACCTGTTTTCTTTCAGTGGAACGACGACATCTTTCCAAATTTAATCAATAGTTATTTTTTTTCTCTCTCGAGCAATGTTTCTTAACTTCAATGTTTCTTGTTTATGTTCAAACATTATTTTTGCTGTATTAGTTTTTAAGTTAAAAAATTGTATTCTCCTGGGTCATAAATTAGGTTAACCTTCGCCTCAAAAGATGTAACTAGTTAAATTCAATCAACCTTTTTTAGCATTCAAAAATTTTA